ATACAGGCTCACCTGGCTTACACTCTCGGTAGCGCAATCCCAATCTACGTCAATCACAAAACGTTTGAAATGGCGTTCATTATCAACCTACCGATAATTCCTTCATATGGCATATACAGACTCAGGGATGTTGTCAATTTTGGCAATTGGCACGGTGAAAACCATGTTCGAATTTACACACCAAGGATGGTTGCGTACCACGACGATAACCCCTCAGTTTATCTAGCTCCAAACCTTCAGATGTGTGTTCTCACTCGGGAGATACATTATCTGTGCCCGAGCAAACCGTTTGTTTGGAATAAAACCGCGGGCATATGCGGGTTGACACCTATTCCGGAAACTTCTAAGTGCTCAACGACCATAACGCCAAGACACTTGGCTAAGGCCGCAAAGGCGGAAATCGTTGGCTCACGTTGGCTAGTGAACGCCCCCCAAAGAGAGGCGATCATGGCCTACGAACAACCTGGGGCAAATAGACCCTTGACCTTACCGGACAAAACAATGTGGATCAGTGTTCCCCAGGGGACAACCATACACATTGGTGATTTGACACTCTATCACCTCGATCCGGGACAATGGGAAGCAACACTAGACGACTCAGAGTACCTAGAAAACATGACTATAGACATAGATCCCGGAACCCTAGAAAGGATCCGGTTTGAGGGTACCAAAGTCGTCGACGTGGAACTGATAAACCGAGTTCTCACGTCCCTCAGGTCCGGAATTAAGAACCCGATCCAACCGATTGCCTATGCGTGGTCAAGCGCAGACACGTTAGTCGTAGCCCTGCTAATGACGATAATCCTCGTGATGTGCGGGATACTCCTATCCCTGTTCCGGGGCCTCCGGTCATTCCGAGTCCAACTAGATCGCCATGCAGCGCACCTCGATATGATTATGTCTCGCGTACGCGGGTCTGCAAAGAAACAACACAAACGGGACAGCGTGATTGAATCTGACAACCAGGGTGAGAAGAAGCAGTGAAACGATGTTTCTAGATGCTTAGTCACTACTCTTGTCGATGTTGAAACGTTGTTTATTTGGTTTTGATATTTGTTTCTGAGGTAAGAATGAATTTTGTGTGTAGTTAAGTTAGAGACTAAGAGGCCTTTAACTATGCCAACATGTAGTTCATTTGTTAAAATGTAATCTTTGCGGAGTCAATGTAGATTAATGCTACCTTAAGTACCATAATCTACATTGGTCTCACAACGCTTAAGCCGAACCTACTCGAACAATTCTATTCGGGGGGATAGCTAATTCTTTTTGATGAGTCTCGCCATAGACTCCAAAAACATTTATGGGGAAACCAAACACCCAATCTCAAGTCGTTCATCTAAAAGGACAACAGACAATTGAACCAAACTATATTTTGCCATGTAAAGCTAACTTAAACCAAGTTAGGAATGGAAAAATAGTTTGGAACACCCTTCTATAGGTATAAACCCCTATAACTACCCTTTTCAGCATGTTCCACCCTTTAACTGATAGCTGTAGCTATTCCCAATCATAGTAGCTTACACACCAGGTGCATATAGGTTAAGGCCTTATGTAAAATCCCCTTCATAAGCCCACCTTAAACCACATAATTGCATGTCACATTGAACCAGAACGGCATCGACTGGACGTCGCCCAGAGACGACCTTCGCTGGAGGAGACCTGCAATCCTGACGTTGGTCTCCAATCTTCATCCAGTGGCCGCATCTTCAGTTCAATCCAAGGGAACCCCTCTGTATGCTGATCAATCAACACCTCCATTCGTTGTGGATTTACCGTTGTGGATTATATGACTTTTTCAATGGATTACAGACTCTGTTTCCAAGGGGTTAAAGCATTACTACAATGGAATTACCAACAACATTATGGAATTACCATCAACACAATGGATTTACCAAAAACATTGTGGGATTACCTCCTTTGACTTTTGTTTTCCTTGCTGGATTACATCAAGCTCAAGGACATTCGAAGGCGTAAGTTCATGTTGGAATTCATCCCCATGGACAGGCGATGATTTCCAAAGGGGGGACTGTAGTGAACTAAGCCTCAGGTCAAATCTAGCCCTGAGGGCCTTCCTGGGACAAGAACTGTCATTTCATTGATTTTAGTCCAGAAACACAAAATTAAGTTCATCCAGAGACTTTCTAAGTGTGTCTTGCACTGATCAATTGAAAGAACACTCTCTTTTTTATTATCATTACTATTTTACAAATGTCTTGATAATCAAAAGTGTGTTTAGTTCAAACCATTTTAAATGTTGAAGTGAACTACTCATTTTAAATCGACTGTGAAACAGTATAAATGATTTTTAATCCTCATTCAAAGTAGAAATCTAGTTAATGTCTGTTACAGAGTAATTATTCATTTTCTTGATCTTCTGTCTGAAATGAGCAGGTTGTAAGTCGGTCAAAAGTCAAGTTTCGGTCAACTACATGTTTACTGGAAAGAAATGTCATGTTTAACTTTTTCAGACAGATAGAAGTAGAACTGGCACCTAAAAGTCTCGGTTTCTTCAAAACATCTTTCTGTCTGTTCTTAAACAACTTAATCTTTTTCCTTGACTTTTAATAACCTCTTACATCACTAAAACCACACCCCTGTTGGGTCTATCGACCAATCAGGAAGTTCTCAGAGGAACCGGAAGTGACCTCTTTAAAAGGTTCAACACTTCCTAGTTCCATAGAGAATGCAGAGAATGCAGAGAATGCTGAGAATGAAGAGCAGCAGAGTTCAGAATGATGGAATGCAGAATGCTGGAGAACAACGGCAACTAAGCTGAACAACGTTCCAGGGAGGACCTCGAACGAGAAGTCCCTGAACGAGAGAAGTTCAGAGGAACAATGAAGAAGTCTGTTCTGGGATGATCTCACGACTCCTGAGGTTTTAGCTGTTCTTACGGAGACGCTGGAAAGAGTTGAAAGGAACTCTACACCGACGCCGAAACTATCATCTGCAAAGGTAAAGAGTCGATCTCAACCAAAGTGTACCGTGGGTTAAGCTGCATCCAAGGGAGCGTGTTGTCGTTCTGGTCTACAGACCTACATCTTATACAGACACATACATCTTCACCCATCTCTCTC